TTTAAGTTCAGTTCAGGTTCATGTTCAATGATCTGCAAAATTTGAGGTTCAGTTCAGGTTCAATGAACTTGGTTCATAAACCTAAATTGAACTGAACTGAACCTAGAAACACTACTTAAAATTGAAACAATAATCTGAGTATCTGAGTATAATCCAGTAATGTTAATACAGGTTGCAGGTTCAGAAGGTTTAAAGTGAAACACCCAAGCAAGAATATTAGTTATAACAATTGGTAAAGAACCTTCAAGTGAACTTCTTAAATAGGTAATATAGAAAAGTTACACATGTAACTAATTGTACACTTTCCTGTAATGGTTCACTAAATCACATTACCAAAAAAGTTGTTAATAAAAGTCAAAAGACCAAAAAGATCACCTTAACACCAAAAAAAATAATAATAATAATTAATTTATTACATATACATTTTGCATGATTAATTTATTACGTATACATTTTTCATGATTAATTTATTACGTATACATTTTGTATGAATTTATGCTATGTTTTTGTGTAACTGTAATATACTTTTTGAGCCTACTGTACTTACGTATTATGTAAGTCTTATTATGTAAGTGGTTATTAATAACTACGTATAATAATTTTTAGGATTTATAGAGCATACGTAATAAAAATTGGACAAAAAGGCCCAAATTTTAGGGTTTTGGGGGTCCTGAACATTTTACTTAATACCCCTGAACTTGGTTGGATTTTTTGAGATATAAGTAGCATCGTAGTTATCAATATATAATCATTTATTGTATGGTTTATCAAACGAATCTTGAACTGATTAAACACATATAATGTTATAAGTAAAGGTTGTGTTATAATGATAAGATTTGACGCGCCTGGTTTTATTACTGGTATTCTATCTTAGCCAACTTACTTTTTTTGAAACAAACGGTTAGATCATCACTATTGTAAACTATATTGGTATGTAAATAAAATATCATGATTTAATACTTGTATGTAATATTTATTTCTTGATAATTGTGGCTTTACTCATCACTATTGTGGTCAGTATTAAAAAAAATTTATAAGCCTCCCATCCTTTCGTCATTTCCTAAAAATGACAACTATTTTTGAGAGGCATTCTATCTTATATTTTTCTATCTTAACTTTGTTTTTGACAGCTTCTTTACTTAGTTACGGCATAGTCATGCAAGAATCAGAATCGACATATGTCCCCGATCCTAACAAACCGCAAATCAAAGTGACATTGTCGCATGATGTTTCGACACATTCTCTAGAATATCCAATTAATTCAACTCAAACTGTTAAATGGGATAGTTCTAATATTTCTGAGGATCGTAAGTTTCAAAACTAACAAATAAAACCACGAAACACTCACATTCTTTACTAATTTATTATTATTATTATTTTTTTTCTCGGTATAAAGCTGAGATATTAATTCAAGTATACAAACTTTTTCCAACCATTCCAGAACCAACCTATCTCGATGTTTGGTCATCTCCAATGGTAAATATTCCGATATAATTATTTTATATATTTCCTTGAAATTAGCTATTCAATGTTTATTTCATAAAAAAAAAAAAGACTGCAAGGCTATCCCAGAAATCAATTACGTTTTGTATTGATCCAGCTCTCTTTTCACCTGATGAGTGGTATGTCGCGCGAGTCTCGTTGGCCACTGATGATAAAATTTCCGCGATTTCGGATCCATTTTGTGTCAAATAAATAAATTCGGAATCTTCATGCATATATATACTGTATCCTTCTATTATGAGGCAACAAATATTTCTGGATGAAAAAGTTATGGAAGTTTTCTGCTTGCGATACCATTCAAAATATACTGTTTATGTATTTGTGCATATATAAAATTGAAATGACGAAAAGTCTTTTTTTCTCGTTTTTATTCCGTAGTTCTCTTAACATGTAAATTTAGATAAATAGCAAAAATGATAGTGAAGTATATTAATCTACTCAATGCATCTCAATAGTATGTGACAAAATTAATTTCTGCAAATTCTTCTGCGTTCCCTCTTGGGATCACATACAATGTTCATTTAAAGTGATACGCTTAGAAAAGTTTGACTGTAGAAAGAAGAATTATAACAACCATAATCTATAAATTTTACTAAAAGTTACCAAACCTATTGTGACTTACCGAGTAAGTTACCATACCTTCTTAAAAATCACCGGTATTAAACTATCCTTTTTGACTTTAATAGTCAAATTTATTACCAAAGTCTCCAAAGTAATCCGGTAAACTTATCCAAAGGTTTGGATAATTTTCTTGGTAGTTTAACGATGGTAATTTACTATTTACAACCCTCAATATTGCAGATGATAATATTGTAGTAATATGAAAGAACATACAACAAATTACCCATCTAATGCTATAGACTAAATTTAATAAAAATACATAGTAGGACACTCATAATTCAAAGATGCGCACAATTGTTATCTTGATCGTTTTAACCAACGACCTAATATTTCAAATAGCAAATTATATCCGCCACTTGTTACAAAATTGTCATTCATTAATTCCTTTTTACGCAAATTAATAGTAAAATTTTTAAAAATTTTACTATGTTCCTTATATCCTACGCAAATAAATAATCTTTAGAACATCCGTAAGATTGAATAGGTTGAAATATTCTATTTTGATATTTTTTTTACAATATATCATTATTAATGAATAACAAAAAACTTGTACTAGGAAAGAGTAAACTATTTAGAACCATAAGAAATATTGTGCTTAGAGACTTAATTGTTATACAGTATGATTTTTTTTTATTTTTTATTACTATTATTGTTAACAAGGATTTAAGAAGAAACAGGTAAAAAATATTTTAATCCTAAATCTACAAAATATATATTCGGTCCTATTGACCGTGTAAATATACATATTAATACACTAAGATTTTACTAATTAGCGTATACTATTGATATCAAGCTTACCAGTCTTTATAGTTTACAATAATAATATTCAAAAATTTAGTTAATATTTTTAACTTCATGACTTGCATGATTCGTTATTACAATTGGCAAATTAACAAAAATCTAAAAAAAATGACATTCATCCCTTTTATATTCTAATAATCGTACCGAAGTTCGAAATAATTTTCTACTCAGTGTAAGAGTTATTTTAAGATAAATAACTTCATTCATATTTTAGTAAACGTAATGAGTTTCAAAATAATCTTCTAATCAATTCAAAAAATTTACTTCAATTAATATTCATAACTTTTCTCTAGTAGAACGTTGAACTTACCATAAATAGGATCTCCAAAATGTTTAACTTGTTTAATTATCGGTATAATGGTTCTTGCCATAGATAACATATTTTCCGAAAAACTAGTCATATACCTGCTCTTTCTCATCTCGTATCTAAGTTCTTTGAGACTTCTTCTGGCTATCGCATATTCTAATATAATATATAACACCTCGTCACATGACATTCTCGTTTCATATAGACTAATAACTTTTAATTGAACTGGAAATTCTCGTAACAAATATGCTAAATTGTCTGTGTCTATTATAAAATTAATCCCGAATGAAATCAGAGTTGATGGTACTGAAATTATGAATTGCTGAAGGATCTCAGACGTAAAATTGAATTTATCGGCATTATTACGTGATGTTTTGCCGATCGTTAAATGAATTAATGGAAGTCTCGAGATTAATTCTAAAAGATTTTGAAGGTAATTTGATGATATTGAGATTGAAAGAATTGTAATCTTGCTACAATACTCGCCGATGAGATCCATTAACGCTGGTATTGCACTTTCTAATGTTAATATTTTTAAATTCTCTGTACACATATTGAGTATCAGTGCTTTTGTCATCACTTCATCCTCACTATTTACCCAGTCATCATAACAATAAAGTCTTTTAATGTTAAGTATATTCCTTGGTATATTTAAAAGTGACATATAGCTGTCTTTCGTTGGTGAAAGATCTAATAGTTCTAGAGTCTCTAAATTGGTACAACATTTTAAAACGTTAATTAAATCATAATATTCATCTTTTGGTGTGATGCGAAGATAAATTAATGATTCTGCTTGTTTTAACATCGCTGTAAAAATTGTTGCTGATGATGACATATTCCAAAACCGATTAAGTGATAATGCACGTAATTTGTTTTGTGATTGGATTAATTGTGCCAATGATTCGATAAAATATGAAGGAAGATGGGTTCTCACTCGATGAATAATTATAGAAATGCTATGTATGTTTCGAGAACAAGATGACATTGATGTAAATAATGATGAGAGTCTTTTCGAAGTTTCATCCCCAGTCTCGAAAAGATAGAGTAATTCAAATCTTTGAAGTTGTGATAAAACATTTTCGATCCCGGGTATCGTTGCGATATCCAGAAAAGGACCATAAAGTTCAACATTTAATAGATCAATTTTTAAAATTCGAAGTCCGGACGAACGATTACAAAGACAATATCCAAGAACTTCTCTACAAAGAGTTGTTATTATATCACATGCTGGATTGCTAATTTCTAAAGTTGAAACTGAATCATCAATAGCTTGACGAAAATGTTCGAAGTCGAACGCTCGAAGATATCTGGGATAATCAATAAATGGTTTCGGTAAATCATGAAATTTAATGCCATCTGCCATTAAACGTTGTCTTCCTTGTTCTTCAAGACATGACACGTATGTTCTTATGATTAGCGCCGCCTTTTCTTTTTCTAGTTTATGTGCAAATGGACGATACCAAAGTAAAGGAACAACCATCTTAAACCAGTCCCGACTCACTAGAAGACATGAATGAAGTGAAGATCTGTCATCTTTTAAAAACCCCAAAATATCAGTAAAATTGTCAAACGTAAGCTTTTGCGCAGTTGCCTGTCTTTGCTCACGTATATAATGTGGATGGCACTCCAAAGAAAATCTTTCAATTTGACATCTAAGGCTCTCCATCTTTGAAAAAGCAGTTAATTTTTATGTTAATTTGATTAGAAATTTTGATCTTTTCCAACTAGATTTAATCTTCGAAATGACGAACTTACTACTATGGAAAACAGCCTACCGGACCAAATATACAAGCAAAATCTTTTAACCCGTTTCCAACAGCAAATAATGCAATTATGAAAATATTGCGATACCGAATTCTCTCATATGTGGAATGTACAAAGAGAGAATTTACCACAATAATTAATCACAGAAGTGACTTTCTACACATTACACATACTATGTAATTAAAGGTTAAGGGGCCAATCAAATTTGTAACAGTTGACAATCTTCCCTAATAATTAAAAACCACATCAAAAAGTCTTAACGTTAATACGATATTCAAAAAAGTTTAGATCATGTGACCCACCATCCGAATTGTATTACGTATCATATTATTTTGAAAAGTGCTTCACTTTATCTAAAAATTAAAATTATTGTCTGTCATCGACTCTAAAGAACTGAAAAATTCGTAATGTGTTCTAGTTGTAAATATAAAGTCAAAACTTATTGTTTATTTATATTCTCGAAAAAAAATAGTATTTCGCATATGCAATATGAGCACGTAAAACGCAATATGTACAAAGTACCCCTTTGATTATACCGGGTATGTCTCAAGTCGTCATATGCAGTAATGGGACTACAGCAGGAAAAAATACAACTCATTTACCGGCCATTCAAAAATATCGTTCTTGATTCAAATTATTTTAATTATCAAAAAAGACATTTGAGACAATGAGTTGCATGATCGATAAATGAGTTGGTATTTATTTTATAAACTGGTGATATTAAAAATTATTAAAAATCAAAATTTTCAATAGATCACGTCGTATGACTTTAATTTTTAACCCATCACTAGTCGTATGGTAGACATTAAAAATGACCTATATGATCTCTGTCATTATAGAAATCATTCTAATTCCGGTTAGTTTTAATTCTTGGTATTGTAATTCAAATGAATCAATTTAATATCCCGATCAACAAATATGTCTCTTAATTATCCGGAGAAATCTAATAGGGGAGTAGTAAAAGTGTGTCTATGTAAACCCAGCAGGAGGATGTCTTTAATAAAGGAATGATCTGCAGTTACGCGATTGTTCAGAGAATTTTTTTATACTTTTTCGGAAGCTTGGGTACAAAAAGATCAATTGACCAATTAAAAAGGGAATAACGACCTGCACAACTTATCATTTTATTTCGACATGTGCTAATCAAAATTTAATTGTCGAGATTTGATTGGCTGTGATAATTCAATTTTATTCCATTAAGTATAATTGATTTTTTGAATATGTGAATACGGTTGGAAGTATTCACCGTCTCTGCCAGCGTTATAGTTAGGGTTAGTAGCAGAATTAGTGAATTATATTACGTTGTTGGCAGGTAGTAAGTTACCGCGGTAAATGACAGTCTTAAAAGCAATTATGCGTTACGAGTATAATTGTTTATTTTTTTGCTACTAATCGAACTTGTTACTAATATCTTTTCAAATAAAGTTATGAAAAAATAATCTAATCTATTTTTAACAAGTTATTTTATATTACACGGAACGGATACCATCCCTAGTTTATAGCAATATTAATTAATTTTTTTTTTTTTTTTTAGGACGTCGACACGAACAATTATTTGAACAGCACAGACAAATTTATTTGTGAAAGAATGAAAATGATCTAAATGAGCTTAAACAACAATAAATTGAACGAAAAAGTGAACACTCTCCTCAATTATTAAATGTAAATATTTTTTAATAATTAAAAATAGAAATACACTGTATACTTAGCTTATATCAATTTTATTTTTATAGTCTATTGTTGGAGGAGTTGTAAAACGTCTTTTTCCAGAAACTCTTTATCCAACACAAGATGTTTTAAAAGATACATTAAAGACATACTTAGAAGAAAACATAATGATTTGTTTGCTAACCTCAGTCCCAATCAATTTCTTAACTGATTTCATGATGAATGGCTTAGCCGGTATGAATTTATTATTTGAGAGTATTATATACTTTATACTATATCATCATAAAATAATACCCTAAAATTATTTGAAGAGAGTCAATAATTAATTTAACTGAATAAAGATTGTAATTTTTTGTTGTTAAAAGTCTTCGGTTAAATTAATTATTAGCTTTCTTCAAGCAATGCATATCAAAAAATGCCCCAAGGTATTAATTATTACATGAAGATACGGTATGATCTTAAATTATTCTAGTCTATATTTTTATAAAAAAAAAGATTGTAAAACTGATATATAGTTAAATGTTTTTATTTTATTAATAGTTATTATTAAAAATGAAAAATATCAACTGAACGTCAATGGCGTTCCGTAGCAATAAAAAAAAAGATTGAAAAATATCTGAAGTGCTTTTTATAATTTCCTTGGTACCTTGTTTATTCTTATAAGTTCTTCTATACTACCAATTCAGTTTGTTCTGCATAATGTAACTTTATGCCAAATTAACTGATAATTAGGTTGTTAAACCTTTTATCTAGAAGTTCTTGTTTATACAGATTATCTATCTTAGGTTTTCTTTTTTGGATCAAGATTTTTACAGATGATATTGTTAGAAGTTTATTTTCTTTTTACTTAATTTTTAAGTAAACTTCTTATTTAAATATATATTTTCTATATTAGAGGTTTGCAAATTACTTATTTTTGTAATTTAATTTGATTTATATTTAGGTTTAAAAATTTTTTGTTGATCTAATCTAACTTATATATTTTTTTTTTTCAACTAATCTAACTAGATCTAATATGTAAAATTTATTATTAAATTTTAAAAAATTTTAAGTTCATTTTGATTTGTAATTGTAAAATTTTGTTTTAGGTCTAATTTAATTTATCTTTTAAACTGTATTCCAGATAAATTGCTTGGAAAATTAAATTGTATTTAGTATTTTTTAAATAAAATAATAATTTATTAATGATATAGGGTATATTTTGCTTATGAAA